AGCTGGGAAAACGCAAAGAAAAGTGAGCTAGAGAAAATGGCAAAGGGGCGGGGTTAGGGAGAGAGGGCGAAAGAACCTCTTTTGCTCCTCCTACTCTCCCCCTCTTACTCTCTTCCACGTTTGTTTTCCTCCGCTCTCCATTTCGCGCCACTTTCCGGTATGCACTGTCCACTTTGCCTGGAACAGGCTAGTTCCTAGTGGGCCAGAGAGTTCTTTCGAATGCCGATGCAAGGGTCTACAGATGTCATTCTCATTGAATGCGACTGATTGTAAACACCTAAAAGTTATCATTATATCAATGGCGTCTAATAAAGCTCCCGGAATCGATAAGATTCCGATCCGTGTAATTAAGGATTCCTTGGGCTCTATCCTTCCTGTTCTCACATCTGTCATAAACACATCAATAGCCTCAAAAATGTTTCCTGAACAATGGAAACTAGCCGAAGCGACTCCAATACCAAAAGTTACAGACTATATACAAGAACAAGCGAGTAACAATGGGCCGATCTCGCTTTCTGTCGGTTGTTTCGAAAGACTGCCAGAGGGTCGTCTATAATCAATTAGCATCATTCCTTACGTCAGAGGGGAGGCTGTAGAACAATCAAAGCGGAAACAAGAAATTCCATTCAACAGAAACGCCCGTCATCGAAACAAAAAAGTTAACAGCCATGGTCCTACTTGACATGAGTAAGGCCTTCGATAGCGTCGACCACAAACCGATGATCTCTAAACTTCAAGATGCAGGAGCTTCTTCTTCATGTACAGAATGGTTTCGTAGCTATTTGAGTGGCAGGCAACAGGTTTTCCGATTCTGAGGCTCTTCCTAGTGTCAGCGGTATACCCCAAGGGAGTATATTGGCACCTCTTCTTTTAAGTATACATACGAACGACCTCATCTCTGTACCAATAAAATGCATGGCAAAGAGCTGTGTGGACGACACCAAACTACTTATTTCGTTTGATTTGAAAGAGAAGACGCCCGCAATAGCTCATATAAGAAGAGGACCTATTCAACGTCAGCAAGTTATGCTACCAGAACTAAGAACTAAGAACTTAACCCAGATATAACTAAACTCCTGGGTTTTGAAAGCAGACAGAAGAATTAAAAGAATTAAATTGGCTCCCAGTAGAAAAATTAATCTATCTTAGAAGTGCCACTCTGTCATTTAAATGTATGACGGGCTCAGCACCGGATTATCTTACGTCTAAATTTAGTAAACGATTTAACATCAGTGGGCGAGAAACTAGAAACTCATAAAGCGTTTCTAGTTGGTCACATGATTAATCAAGGCAGAAAAATTTATAGCGGAAGACATGCATGTTTGACCAAAGAAAATGTTAATTTTAAAAATAATGTTTAGGACTGTGAATAAAGTGAAATGGTTTGAAGGAACGGAGATGTTACGTGCTAGCAGACGTCATCATCTTTGTTTATGAAGTACTGTGCATATTTTGGCGTTATATTAATGTTGACGAAGTAAGTTGAGTCACTCTCAAAAAATTACCACAAAGTGCGATTGAATTATTACAAATTGCGACAGCTTAGTTTATTACAAAGTGCGATGGACTTTTATTACAAATTGCAACACGGTTTATTACAAACGCTTGCGACAGGTATTACAAAGTGCGATGATTATTACAAATTGCCACAGTACATCCACAACCACGCATAATCTAGTCACGTTCAACATAGCGAAATATCATCAAATAACTCGGAAAAACGCAGCCTATTGGCAGATAAACACCTCTGGGCTTTTCTCTTCCACTCGTCTTATTCAAGTTCCTGGATATACAGTCACATGGTCGGCAGACCAGCATAGACCCTGTTTTCACGCCAGAAATAAACGAAGTCTTCGCCTGGGTGAAAGTTTACCTGGAATTTTGCTCACGCCTGATTAATTTGACTCCTAACAGCCTATTCCCGAAAAGCGGACAATATCGTTCCTTTCTGTCTCAGCCCGGATCAGAGGGATTGATTCGTTTAGCCAAATGAAACTAGAATACAATACGATATTGGACGACACTGGGAATCCTATTAACTTTGTCCCATCTCAGATATTTACATGATCAGGGGCACTCAATGAACCTGTTCCTCAAAATATTTGTTCTTCAGGCCAATTTTCTGCTGGCTGGGAGATTTGGAAAAAAATTGTATATCCTTGGAAGGAATGTTGCCGGGAAATAGACAATTAAGAGTGTCTGAGGGGATTTCATGTCTACAATAGCTGCAATGAGCTAGTTGTCC